TAAATAATTAAAATTTATTTTTAATGCTATTTTAATTTAAACTAATAATATTACTTATTTATTGAAAAGTTTCTATATATTTTACATTTCTGGATAAATTTTTGAAAATATATAATAATTTACTCTTTCGGCCTCTTAATTGTAAACTAATTTAATGATTTATAAAATCTAGAATTTAGTTGGATTGATGAATTTTGGAATGTTGATCGATTGTATATTTGAATGTTGATTTTGTACTTTTTTTTTTATGTAATCACACATTTTCAACTTTATCTATTTTTTTATTAATAAAATGGTCATTTGATAAGCTCTCATCAGATTTTGAACAAAAAAACTTATTTTTTCATAAATTATAGATCTTAAACTTAAATTATAAATACACGAAATCTCATTTTTTTCATAAAAAATATGTTTGAGGGTGATACGGATTCTAAGTTTTTAAAAACTTGATGGTACACATATCAATATATTTATTTATAAGTAAACACAACTTTATATGAAATGAGCGTTTCTACGTAAACTACAAACTTATTATTTAACATTTAAAATTGACCTCCCGGAGTGAAAATCCTAACTCCATCACTGCATCCGGGGCTACTACACTTTTTTTCTTGACCTCTGACGTGCGATTACTCTGCCATTTCAAGCTCTCTAGTCGATATAGGTAGGTACCCTATATACGTCTTTGCATGTTTACCTTACATATTGTGTTGTAAATATTGTTTTGTTTTTTCTTTCACAATGTAGATATGCAGAATCCGTTTTCAGATCACACATATAATTACACGTATAATTAATTACCATTTGATTTATAATGGATTCAGCAGATCGACAATTACGTACAAGGATTTGTGCATAATAATGGAAAAGAATAACATTAAATTATTTATTCATAACACATGTTTTGATATGACATGTAAGCATAATCACAAATCTTTATCTAAATCAATTTCTCTCTCGTATCTAAATCAACTAGTGTGTGGCCCGTGCGATGCACGGGAAAACAATATTACGATTCTACTATAAATTAAATATATAAATAACATTAATTATAATTTACCCCTTGTTTTTAAATTAAACTGGGTTGGATACAGTCCGACTGGATAGACCGAGAACCGGTTTATAACCAGTCTAGTTCGCTTGAATAAAATATTTGTTGTCGAATCCGTCAACACCAGTCGGTTGGACTAGTAGGAACGATACGATTTCCTAAATAAATTTTGTTACATTTAAAATTATTTTAAATACATATTTAAATAAAATAGAGATTTATAAATTGTTTATCAATTAGTTTAAACATTTGAATTTATAAATTTTTTAGATATTTAAGTAATACATTTTATTTAAATTTATTACAGAAAGTACTATATATAAATATATATATATATATATATATATATATTAAAATGTTTGTAAAAAATCGAACAAACCACAAACGATTTAATAAAATAACTTGATCGTTGCGATGACGGCCCGGTTCTGAAAACCTTATATTTACTGTACATTAATAAAAATTATAATATAATATTATTTTATTGACATAAAAATTGATAAAATGATATATAAATATTCATAAATCATTTAACATGTTGTCATAAAAGTATTGTTAATATGATTATTTGAAGTTTGGATTACATCACATTCATGTAATAAAGTGTTTTTAATATTAAAATTTATATTTAGGTTCAATAATCGATTTGGTATGGTCAAACTGATACATAACTTAGTCACATGGGACCAACCAAGTTGTGTTAAGTTTTTTGACTATTTGAAATATCACCTAAAAGTAATTCAATCAACCTGGGCAGTGCCCTAATTCAAGTACTCGATTGATCCAAAGAAATTTCCTTATTTTCTTTAAATATATTTAATTTTATGAAATAAAAATATCTTATGATTCATATAATAAATGTCTACACCAAATGATAGTATATTAAGATTATAAATTATATATCTAAAGATGAATTAATTACTTACTTTATACATATTAATAAAAAATAAACATAGTAATTTAAAAAAAAAAAAAAATTGATTGATTATCCAATTTAAAGAATTTTATAGCGTTCAATATTCTTATTTTGAAAGGCACAAATATAAAGACCGGGATTCTAAAACTTTTGTTATATTTTGAATTGAGATTTTATAAATATAGAGACCGAAATTTTAATGTTGTTCATTGTTTATTAGAAAAGAAAAATGAAAACATGCACACTTAATAAATCTTAGTCGAATTTTTTAAATAATAAAATGAACTAAAACTTGAAATTTAATGTAGCATTTAATGTTGTATGGTTTTGTAAAGAAAAAACTAAGAAAAATAATAAAATTTACTATTTATAGGCTGCATTAAATTTTGACCTATTTTTTTGCTACTATTTTTGGTAAATGGTAATTCTTATTATATATATATATATATATATATATATATATATATATAGATAGATAGATATAGATGTCTCCCTCGTAACCGTTCCTTCACATAAAGAACTGATGGGAAAAATGCTGCATACTCTAATTGGAGGAGAGATGACTAATTTATATAGAGGTGATTTTAGATCTTATGTCAATCAAATATTCAGATTAATGGCTCAAATTTGTTTGACCATTAAATAAAAATCTAACTCAATAGGATAATTAATTGTGAATCTAATCCTTTTGGCTCAAATATTCTTACATCTATTTCAAACTCCAACCACGTAATTCGATCCCAAACGAGTCTATTATGTAAAACATTTTTTTGAAATAAACTAATTGAGTGGATAACGCAATAAGAGCACAAAGTTACAATTACAGGACTAGTAAATCTTGTACTGTGTACCATTATATTATTATCACCTGATTAAGTCACCTCTTTAATATAATTGCCAGCTATTTATTGCTTGTATCTATATAAACTATCAATTATTCCTCTATGGAACCAGTCTAGATTTAAAGAAGCACTTTATAATATTACCGGATAAAAGTGAAATTAAAATTTCTCAGTATAGCTACAAAATGCCAGCATATAGTGTTCTAAAATTTTCACAATCCTCTTCATAATTATGTTGAAGGAAGAATTTGGAGAAATATTTGGTTTCAACCTAAAAATTGTACGTTGCTTTTGAAATGTTATACGAGTCCATGATGAAATGTTTCCATTGTTGTCATGTCTTGTGAACTTTTAAATCATGTAATTCAAGTCAATCATCATATATACAATATACAAGAGAACCCACCGCCGCTCAAAATTTAAATTTATCACATTTTATTTCACAATTTTATCAAAATATATAATTCATTTGATTTCTTTTTATGGGAATTCCCAACAAAAAACGCATATCAGCTGCCAAATAACACACATGATTTTGGGAGGATAATTAGTTATGTCCACATGCAAGAATTGCTTGCTGTTAAGAGTTAGGCTGCTTTGAAACTCACGGCATATAGCTAAACTCAATTCTCACTCGGAGAAAATTGCAATTTTAGTCCAGTAACTTAAGTTGTTTTCCACTTTAGTCCAGTAATTTGGGCCGATCCAAAATTGTTCCAAAAACTTCTAAAATGTAGTTATATTAGTCCAATTCCGGTCCCTGTCGCCGGAATCCGAATTGCCAACTCAGCACATTCCGATCGGATTCCGGCGACGGGAACCGGAATTGGACTAATTTAACTACATTTTAGAAGTTTTTGGACCAATTTTGGATCGGTCCAAGTTACTGGATTAAAGTGGGAAACAGCCTAAGTTGCTGGACTAAAATTGCAATTTTCTCTTCTCACTTGCATTAATAATTTAATATATTATATAATAACATCATGCTCATATAGTTTGATTGAACAACACTAGGAAAAATAAAATGGTGCACTTGATAAGGCCATAAAATATGTTGTGGCTAAATACGGAAAAAGAAAATAGTGATAGAGAAAGTTGACACTAATGCCAGTTGCATTGAACCTACATTTCACATAAAGTGGAATAAGAAAGGGAAAAAAGGGGATTGAATATTTTCAAAAAGGGAGACCATCAACCATCATGCATTTATTTACTATTTCATATAGTGGGAAATTAGCTTTTCCATTCTCATGCTAACTAATACTTTTGGG